CCCCCTTTTCCTCCCTCCCCGCCCCATCCTCGTACGCCTCGCACGAAATCACCTTCGGCCGCCGCTACCAGCGCTTCGCCATCGAGCGCGCCCACATGCTCGTCACCATGCCCAATCCGCCGCTCGACAAGCTCAGCAAAGCCTTCGGCTTCTGCCTCCTCTTCGAGTCGCCCGACATGATCTTCCAGCGCACGCTCAAAGCCATCGCCAGGAGCGCCGGCGAGAGCCTCTACAACTGGCAGTACCCGTTTTACCACCTCGGCGGGGCCGGGACGCACAACTTACAAAGTGGACCCGGAGGATGCCCCCCGAATAGCACCCTCACCTTGGAAGCGGGCATGAGGATGCACTTGAGCTTTGTGCAGGTCGGTAACCAAGGGACAATCGACATTCTGAAACCACATGCCGAGTTGACGGCGGGCTTCGGCATGGGACCGTTCCCGCCTGCTGTCAATAATGCGAGGGATAGCTTTCTGGATAGGGACATGAAGATGTGTCTCCCCGGTTTTGGAGGGACGTATTACGACTGCGATGAGGTGGAGTTTTACTTCCATCAACGAGGGGTGGTGATTCCGCCCGGAGCGGATTCGTATACTGTGGAGATTTACCCGGCACAGTTTGGGGTTGGTGCTGGTGCTGGAGGCGGAGGAGGAGGACCAGGGTCAGGGTCAGGGTCGTTGGAGGAGGAACTGGACTTGGCTTGTCTTGTTAGTCAGAACTGCGCTCCTCCAGCAGCAGCAGCTGCTGCATATGTGGGATCATCACCGCCTTCTTCGATGGACTACCACAGTTCAAACTCAATTATTAGCGATGATCTCCCGCCACTTTCCGGTTACCAACAACAACAACCCTCTACGACGACGATAAATAAACCACTCACACCCAGCAGTGGCTCCATGTCCAGCTCCCTCTCACCACCATCAACAACCGCCTGCGAGAATTGGGCTGCTCGATTTTTGGGTGCATGTGCTCCAGCGCCTAACGATAACTTTGACTTTTCCAATACAAACATATACATGTCCCCCAAGAGTTCGGCGGATTCAGCACGCTCGGCTACGGGTTCTTCCTCCTTCGATCATCAACCACCAGTTCCATCTACTACCACCACTACCGCCGCTAGCTATTCATCGCCACCACTACCACCCAGACAGCCGCCACAGCAAATGTGGAATCAACGAATGTTGGTGACGATAGACGTCAACCAGTTGGTCAACGAGCTTACCGAACGTGCCATTTGTCTTGGGAGGACGCCGGGCATTAGGGTGGAGGAGATTAATGCTGCTTTTTGGAAGAGTGTTTCGATGTCTGTGACGTTGTAGGTACGTACCTTGGGAATCGGTTATAGTGTTTATTTCTTCTTTTTTTTTTCCTGTCTTTTGGGGTTTTGGTTTTAGGTTTAGGTGGCCTGGAGTTATGGATTGTAGGATGGTTGGATTTAGTGTTTTTTGGGATGGGTGTCGGCTTGTCATGTACGTTTATGTGTATGATGATTAGGGTGTGGAAATGAATATTAGTAATTTGGAAAGCGTACATAATGTGTAGGTAATTGTAATTGTTTCGGATATCTAAGACGCAGTGCTACAACCGGGGAACTGAGGACAGGAAGAAAACAATGGTGGAAGCAAAAGAGGAGGAAGAGGGGTGGCATGAAGAATAGAAAGATTAAAGGAAAGAACGAGGGACAGCCGGCAAGGACAGGCAGGCTACCTAGTACCTACCACCGGTAGGGCATTGATACCTCGCTGGTAATGACATCTTTTTCTCACCAGGAACACAAGACAAAATGTTTCTTGTACTTATGCGGTCACATAGAAATGAATATCCTTGATAATTAACAACCACTGGACAGCGAGAAAAAAAACCAGGACTGATCCCCTTCCCACCTGGCGATATCCGACCAACCAAGAAAAAAAGAAACAACCAAACAACAGTTTGTGGACGAACCGTGGATTGAACACGGGACCTTCTGTAAGAGCAGCACTCGAAAACGAGGCATTGCAAAACAGATATTCTACCACTGAACTATCCGCCCAAGTTGGAAAGTTTGTGTTGGACCATCAGCTTATAAGGGGGAGTGAGTGGAAAATGGGGTGGACCCACTTGGGTTTGGGCTGCGGAGAGCCTTACTGAAGTGGAAGGACGGAAGCTATCGTGGAGCAACAACTTGGTTGGACATGAACGGGTAATTGATGTGTTTGGAAGACTTGATCGTATTCATATTTCAAACTTCAGAGAGAAGATCAACATGGTCAATTCGAAACTGTTGCCTTGATAACTGCCTTAGTTCTTGATACCTTATCACCAACTACACCGACTAGGTACAACCAGTCATCACCACCACAGCCTCCCCCCTATTGATCCCGCCCCTAATCCTATTTTCCCGATCCTACAAATACCTCCGCACCAGGTGAAAAGCCAAGGGTGCCTTTTGGCGTTACAAAATCCACCCCATCAACACCTGCAGCGAAGAAACTAGTAAATACCAACGGAAAAGTAATCACAAAGGGCAAGCAACAAAAAGGATCAAGGATTTGAAAGATCATGGAGGGTGGTTCACAGCCAGCTCTCTTCCCATACAGGGACATTGAAAACGCGCCTAGAGGTACAGTCCAATACTGGTTTGTTTGTTAGTTCGAGACCTCTGGTCAACCTTCCTAGGCGTTTATATATCCAACTGATCCGTTTCGTTCCATAACTGAAGCGTAATCTTACCTTGCATATGCTATTTTGGAAATTTGATATGCCATATTGAATCTTGTTGATGCCTTTCCGACCCGTACCTAGCCATTTGGGACAATTTGGGATAGATCTCGTCCAGTATACTAGGAGTACCAAGCTAACAAACAAACCAGCATTAGATTGTACTTAATCCCCAACCTCGACTACACTCCCACCACCACTGACACTTCTCAAACCTTCCTGAAGTTGAAGTTCATCAGTCTCCTCACCACGACTTTCGCGTTGCCACTGTCCAACTACCCCCTCGTTACCAACAAACTTCACCTTCCCTTGACACCGCAGCAGTGACCGCCCTCGCACCGTTGTTCGAACTAAAGGCAACCCCCCCAACGCCCCAAGTGACCACCAACTCATGTCATCTGATTTGAGTACTGACAAAGATAGTATCAGGGGGGGTGTTATATGCAAACTCCGGTGACTTAGCAACGCGGCGGCAAGTATCTGCAAGTTCCTCGGCCGAAGAAGGCGGGATGTGAGTGAAGACGAGGAGCGTATCTGTAGTAGTACGTCTGGTTTTTTTGGCTTTTGGAGCGCTGGGAGTAGTGGACGTGTTAGCTTTCGTTCTTGGTTTTTTTTTTTCTTTTACTTTTACTTTTTCTTTTTCTTTTTCTCTTGGGTACCTTAACTTAGAATAAGGTACCGACCGTGTGAAAGGGGGGATAGAGATGGGGGAACAAGCTTACCACCCGAACGCACAGCCCTTCTTACAACAACCTCCGTCCTTCTCCTCTTCTCTCCCCGCTCCTCAACGTGCCCAGTCTGCTGCTGTTGTAGGGCATCCAACCGAACAACCAACTCCTCCGCCTTCAGTTTCGGTTGCTCACTCGTAATTTCCACGCTGGAACGGCCGGCGGCCTCCACAGGATATTTGCGGTGATATGGTTCGTATGGATGTTCATCCCCTGCTGCGGCGAAGAGGAGGAGGGTTAGAGTGATGAGGAGGAGGGCGAGGGTTGTTTCTCCGGAGAGGAATGGTTGCATTTTGGTTGTTTGTGTCTGTGTCTGGTAGGTGGCTGGCTCTTGGTTGGGTTGGGTGCCAGGAGCGAGTCCCTGCTAGAGGTGGGGTTGAAGTCGGCTAGGGAGGCCGGGGATTGCCGCGGACCTGGAGGACTCGAAGGAATGGATGGTGGTGATGGTGGTGATATCTGTAGGGAGGTAGTGATGTAGAGGTCCGTTCGGCTGCGGAAGTTCGGAGCAATCCGTGAAGGTTGAGGGTGGTTCTTATCAGGATCGTCGAGAGGGGTAGGTAAGGCAAAGTATGTTGTAGCCGGTAACACCAAGGTTGACGAGGGGGGGGGGGGGTGGAAGTCGAAATGCTGGCTGGGACGAAGTTGGGTATAGAATCGCCGAATATCAAAACCTTTCCGAAGCACGGTACAACTTTGCGGTTGAAATAGTAGATCACCAGATGTTAAGCAAAAAAAGACTTTTGGAGAAGAAAGAATATCGTTCACACCAAATCAAGGCATCGCACGACCTTTTATTCCTTTCTGCAGTTCCTATCTCCCCCCTCTCCCTCGCGCCTCATCCTCTCGTGCCCGTCATGCAACCGAGTGCATATGATAAAGATTAAGAAAACCCGGATCGGTGGTGCGGGACATGCAATCTGCATCCGGACCCGGAATTTCCGGCCTTCGATAAACATGTCGTGCGACAAGAGAGGGCGGGGGTCCGGACTGCGCTCGGTTACCGGTCGGTCGAACTGGAATGCAGGAAAGCGCTGCGTTGAGGCCTAACTGTCTTCGAGATGTTTATGTCATGCATATATGTACGTAATGTATGTATGTGCATGCGATAAGTAACAACCAAGAGGCTGGGTACTGCCAATCGCAACCGTTCCTGGTTCCTGAATGGCGAACCTTTGTTTTGGTCGTTTTGGAACCCTCCCTTTGGTTGTCTCATGTCAACAAACTTCGCCCATTCCAGTCACTTGCATTGCCGAGCACCCTACTATGTAGGACCTTCCACTTCCATCACCCCGCCCGCGATGATAAACCGTTTGCGGCGAACAAATGGTTTTAAATCCCGATAACTTTTGTTTACCCCCGAGACCCCTCTCCAAATTCCAATCAAGCTCGCATGCGCATGCGTAAACCTATGCGTAGTGTACCTCAAAACGCACAGAACGCCTGTCGCCTGCTCTATCTCACAGCTCGCATCCCCAGCAACATGCCTACCCTATCTACCCTATCGTTTCACTCTTCTTCCAAGCACCGACCGGAAATAACTACTGATCAGCCACAGCAATGACATGCACCGTCGCATCCAGATAGCACCAATTCTCCAGCAAGCACGTCGCCCCCGGGCTGAGTTTGAACACACCACGTGGGCCAACAACAAACTCATCTTCGCCATCGTTTACCGCCACCCTTAGCTTGCCGCTGACGAGAGTGCATATTCGGGTCCGGGACCGATCGGTGGGGAGCTGGTGGGTGCTACCCGAGGTGATGGTGAGGGCTGTAAAGGTGGTTGATTTGCCCATTTGGATGGTCTGGTTGGCTGAGAGGTAGGAGGAGGAGTAGACGAGGTCTAATAATGGGTTGTTAGTATTTCTGACTTGAAGAGTAAGGGGCGGATAGGGGAGTAAACTCACTTTCCGATGGTTGGTGCCGCCTGGGGAGAACCCCCCTTGGACCCCTTTCCCAATCCTCGGTTACGAGATCCTCTCTAGACACCAACAGAGACCGAGCAGAAGCAGCGGTGGCCTGAACTGAGGTCGATACGGCAGTTTGTTCCCTCGTCCGGAGACGTTTGCTGGCCCGGCGATACTCGACATCTGCCTCTTCCTCTTCTGCGGCATCCAAGCTAGCCGAAGCGTAAGTCGGCGATGGGTCCTTGAAAGTGATGACTTTCCTTGGCGGTGGTACTCCGTCCATATCTGCCTCGCTCTCTTCCGTAGCAGGAATACTGGGCAGTCTTTGCGATCGCCGGATGACCGTGGCACCAAGTTGCTCGTCGTACTCATAAGCTTCCTCCTCGTCCTCGTCCTCCTCATCCGCTTCGTCTTCGGCATCGTCCCCCGCCTCGTCGCCTGCTTCGTCGCCTGCTTCATCTCCATCGCCACCACCACTAAGCGCAACCACACCTGTCGCACGCTCTTCAGCTTTGGTCAGTTTCTTGATACTGCACGCATTGTACGTATTGTCGTACAGACAGTTGGCACAAGTGTTGCGATAGCTGGAAGAGACCAATCTGGTCAGTTTAACGCTGACCTTGGGCAGTATGGTGACACAGCCCTTGAAAGGCCCTGCGCGGCGCCGACATGCGGTGCATGGATTGGGGCTTTCACGTCCAGTAAGTTGCGCAACTACCGAGGCAAGTTGCTTAAGTGTCAGTGTGTGGGTTACTGGAATAGGGTGCTTCAACTTGAGATCTCGCCGACAGGGTAACGCGAGGAGGACTTCCAGTTCCATTTCCTCAAGATCGGGGAAGTTGCCACCAATCTGGGAGGTGATATATCGCCGCAGTCCTTCGGGGTCTCCATCTTCCTCTTCTACTTCTGCTTCTGCTTCTGGTGGTGATCCCGATATTTCGTTGAAAGTCCGCTTTCGGCGTACCCCGCCTCGCACTTTGGCTTTTTTATCGCCATCGTCAGGCTCTTGCGCCTCTTTCAAAGGTGACTCGTCATATCCCATTGGGCCCCTAGACACAACCCGAGGACCACTCTCGCTGCGACCTTCAACGATCGTAAAGGTACCGTCTTGGTTGTCGTTTACGCAAACGTCGGGATGCCACAGAGTCCAATGAGTGCTATAAGCTGATTGCCCTCTGAGGAGGAGTCTGCACGACCTAATGGGGCATATCCAGGGCCGAAGGGGAAACGCTTGAAGTTCAAGTTGGTAGCCTTCAGGAATCAATCCTCGGGTCACCTGAAACCGATTATTCTCCGGATTCAACCAATGGGTATAAGGCCGGCCATCGGTGGCATTGTCGAACCCAACATCGGAAGGAATAACGCGGGCATTTCCAGCTGACTTTTGAAGAGATGGGGAGCTGGTACGTTCTGCGTTATGCCTTTCTTGCAAGTCTCTACTGTCCTTGATGATCGTCTCCGCGATCGAGCTACCCGTTGAGGAACTTTTCCCTCTGCGATGCTCTCGTACCTTTCGGTTGATAAAGTTTCGGGACATTTGGGGCTCCGCTAATGGTTCAGTATCTCTATCCATTGGTCCACGCGATATTACGGCCGGTGGATTATTGTGATACTCGATCCGAAGTTGCTCAAGTGGGAGACTGGCAGGGCGCTTGACAACAGTAAAGGTCCCGTCCAGATTGTCATTGAACCGGCAACCG